CATATATTATAACAATCCATACATCCATTATATCAAGCGAACATGTGAAATCGTTGGCATCAACGATTTCTAAACATCCTTCTTCTTGAGCCCCTTGATATCAGCTCCTCTTTTTTTTTCTTTGACTTATTTTTTGTTTGTTTTAAATCATTTTATTGGGGGCTCATCCAACTCTTATCACAATCCACCCATCCATCCATTGTGTCAAGCACATTTGTACATTTGTTGCCATCATCATTTTCAAAACATTTTCTTTCTACTTGAGCCCTTGGTATCACCTCCTCATTTTTTTCCCTCCCTTTCCCACGCTCCCTCCCTCACGAACCCTTGATAATTTATAAAATTTTTTTTCAGTCTTACACTGACCGATGTCTACCTTCACCCACTTTTCTGTTGTCCATCCCCCTGGGAGCGGGTTATATATAGATCATTGTAATTGCTTCCCTCTTTCTCCTGCCACCTTCCCCTTACTCTCCTGGTATGGCTACTCTCAACATTGGTCTTGAGGGGTTTATCTGTCCTGGATTCCCTGTGTTTCCAGCTCGTTTCTGTATCAGTGTACATGCTCTGGTTTAGCCATATTTGTAAGGTATAATTGGGATCATGGTAGTGAGGGGAAGGAAGCATTAAAGAATTAGAGGAAAGTTGTACGTTTCATTGGTGCTATACTGCACCCTGACTAACCCTTTTTTTTTTTAAACTTCATGGGGCTGTATTAGGAATTTCAACTGAGATGTCACTGCTTATGGATGTCATAGAATGAATGGGATAGTAATTCTTCATGAACTGTTCTTATTGTCCTTGACATATTCTAATAATGTAGAGGTCATAGCAGCCCCCAGATGAACTTTAACTGCTTCGTATAACTTGGCTAATTTACTCTGCTTTACAGGTGATGATAATGTGTTATTAAAAAAGACATTCATAGATATAATTGGAGCTATTTGGGGATACGTTTCTTACCTCTATATAGAAGGCTTTGGGATCACCATTTTCTCCCTTTTTATATCAAAATGAAACTAGACTTAATTCCTGGAAACTTTCATCTCTGTAAATAGAATGCAACACTTCTCTTTTCAGCCCCTGGTTTTCGTCGGCACTCATTGTGGCGGTTATGGGGCATTTCTTCATCGTACACCGACGATGATTGGGAGAAAGCCAGGGCAGTGGCTCTGAGCCTCTGACATGCTATTTTCTACCTCAGCTTTCGTGAGCACACCATTCACACTCACAGGTGTGAATCCCTTACAGCTCCAGACCAAAGGCAGTTTGAAGCCACTGGCGTGTGGGGTGGGGGGGGTTGTGAGTGGGGAGCCTTGTATGTTCTTGATATCACCCCACAACCACTCTGGTCTCCAGACATTGGATTCTCAAAAACTATTTTTGAGATGGTTCCTAAATTCAGATGGGATATACTCATGGTCATTGTGGTAGATAGATAATTGTATGTCAACTTGAAGCTGTATAAACATGTAAGTGTGGATTCCAACCTGTCAAACAACTCACAGCCTGATGCTCTCTTTTTGCGTGAGTGGCCTTCTTATAAGGAGGGCCCTGGGGACTGTCCGCTCTTTGCCACTTGGACTTCCTGCCTGCTGGGAATTTGCCATTGACCCTGAGAGCTGCCAGAACCCTGCCACGTTTCCACCCAACCTTGGATCCACACGGCTCTGCACCCACTGGCCTGTGATCTTCCTGCATTCTGTATCATTGTGTGAGTCTGAAGAGGGACGGATAGACTAGTATCAGACTTGTGGACTTGAGTTGGACTGGCCTGGGATATAGTTCCTTGATATATAATTACTTCTTGATAGAAAGCTCTTTCTTATACATAGATGAGTGTTACTGGATTTGATTCTTTAATCATCTCCACCCATCACAGTCAGATTTTGGCTCTTGCAGACTTGTTCTATTTTTCTCCAGCTTCTATCAGAATTTGCTATGAGCAACTGCTCCACAGTTGGCACACAGCCTTTATTTATCTGATGATACTGAGCCTTTCTCCAGATGCGGTCCACTTGATTCCTTTGTATTCCTCTGTTTGAGGAAGTCTACATCTATAGTCGAAGCTTATGTTTTTGACAAAGGTGTTTTCGGTGAATAAGTTATTGTTCTTGCAAAAATCTTATCATCCAATCTCCAGTTTGGGGTCTGTCATAAAGCTGCATTTTCTAACTACCGATCTTTACTCTTTGTTTTCAACGTTTGCTTACCAACCACCAGTAATTATCAATGCATCCGGATTTCATATTGGATTGCTTTAAGATTGCAAACGTTGGTAGAATTCTCTACTTTCGTCTTGTTTGGGTATATGGATAGTATCCTATCACCCTGCATTTCACTTCTGGATAGATCTTGAAATGTTGTTTTTATGATGAATGCAGTTCCATTCCTCTTGAGTTTGTCATTCCTGGCATAGTTAACCATATGATTGTCAGGTTCAACACGGTCATTACCATTCTACGTTAGCTCAGTAATCCCTAGGATGCTGTTTTGTTGTTTTTTTCTTTAGGACTTCCAGTTTTCCTAGATTAATACTTGGTGCATTCCATATTCTAATGAATGGATGTTTACAGCTGTTTCTTTTCATTCTGAATTGTAACACACCAGCAAATGCAGATCCTGGAAGATTTGCTACACCCACATCATTAAGGTCAACTGTCTAAAACTCACTGCCATTGGGTCGAGTCTGACTCATGTGGACCCTGTAGGACAGGATAGAAATGCCCCTATGGGTTTCTGAGACTGTAATTCTTTACATGAGTAGAAAGCCTTATCTTTTCCCCCAATGAGCAGCTGGTGGTTTCAAACTGCCAACCTTGAAGTCCACCGCTCAATGCATAACCATTAT